GGCTTTGGACTTAGATCTCAGGGCCTAGGACTCAGGGCTTAAGGTGGTAGGGTTCGGGTTATTCAGTTGGGGTCAGGGCGTTAGGAAAGAATAGTAGGGTTAATGTAGGGTTAGGGCTTAGGGCGGCAGGGCTTGGAGTGGGGTGTTAGGGATAGGTAGGGTATGTTGGCAGGGTGGTAGGGTTAGATTGTTAGGGCGTCGCGCATAGGTCTCAAGGTTTATGGCCGAGGGCTTAGGGCGGTAGGGTTTGGGTTAGGGCCGTCGGGGTTCGTAGTGCGCTTGTAAGTCTAGCTACGGGTAGGGTGTCAGGGTTCGTATCATCGGGCTGGGGCGGTGCAAGTTCGGTATTTTAAAGGCAGGGTGTTAGGATTTGGGTAGCAGGGTAAGGGTGTGAGGGTAAGGGTGTCAGGGTCAGGGTGTTATGGTTAGATTAGGGCGGAGGGGTGAGAGGGAAGGGTGTTCGGGTTAGGGTGTTCGGTTTGGTGTGTCAGCATTAGGGAGTTAGGGTTCGGGTGTTAGGGTCAGGGTGCTTGTTTTAGAGTGCCAGGGTTCGCGTATTTAGGTTGAGGGTGTTTGGGTTAATGTGTTAGTGCCAGGGTGTGAGTAATGGGGTGTTAGGATTTGGATTAGGGTCGGGTTAATGTGTTACGGTTTTTGCTTAGGGTTTTGTGCTCAAGGATTTGGGCGTAGGGTTCGGGTTAGGGTTTTAGTGTTTGGGTGTCAGGTCTGGGGTGTTCGGGAGTTGGGGTTGAATCGTTCGGTTCAGGGTGTTCGAGTTAGGGTGCTAGGGTGAGGGTGATAGGTGTAAGGTGTCAGAGTTCGGGTCAGGGTGGTAGGGTTAGGGGGGTAGGGTGCCAGAGCCAGGGGGGCGGCGTGGCCAAAGGGAGGGGGGGAGGGGGGGGGATCCTATTTTCGAGTCCAAGGGGGGGGGTCAAACCCTTCACCCCCTTTGAAAGTGGTGGGGGTCCGCCGGGACGGCGGATCGGGAAAGGGGGGGGTGGGGGACCGGGACGACGGACTGGGGAACAGGAGTGGGGGAGGTGGGGGGTCCGCGGGAGACAGTGGCGCACCCTCTGTCAGAAGACCTCTGGCCTTCTGAGAAGCCGCCTGTGGCTTCCGAGAAGGCTTGCAAGGCTTATCAGAAGGCGTGAGAAGCTCCGCCGCCTTCGGAGACTGCCTGCCCCTTCTCACTTCCCCCTGGGCTTGCCGCCGAGGTGAGGCAGAGGGGGGCAGGGGAGTGAGCGGAAGAGGCGAAGGGGGAGGAGAAAGGGAGAGGTGGGAGAGGAGCGGAGAAGCGGAGGCCAAGGAAGGAGGGGGAAGGGGAGGGAGGGAGGGAGGATCGCAGGAGGCGGAGGGCGTGAAGAGAGAGCTGAGGAGGATGGGAAGGAGGGAGGGGAGTGGAGGGAGGGAGAATGGAAGAAGGTGGATAATGGTGATGACGACGACGACGACGATGGTGGCAATGGTAATGACGATGACGATGATGATGCTGCTGATGATGATGCTGATGATGATGGTGATTGTGGTGATTTTGGTGCTGATTGTGATGGTAATGTTGATGGTGATGGATGGTACTAATCATGGTGATGGTGATGATGCTGATGCTGACAGTGATGATGACGATGATAGTGATGATGCTGATGATGCTGATGGTCATGATGATGATGGTGATGATTGTGATGCTGATGATGTTAATCGTGATATGATGGTGATGATGCTGACGATGATGATGTTTATGATGATGATGATGTTGATGATGATTATGATACGACTGTGACGATGATGATGCTGTTGTTGTTGATGATGATGATGCTTGTGATAATTATGGTTGTGCTGATGAGGATGAAGCTGATACAGGTGATGCTGCTAATGATGCGGATGCTGGTTGAGATGCTGATGATGCTGCTGATCATGACTCCCATGCTGAATTGTTCCGTGGTGCTGATCATGATGGTGTGCAAGATGATGATGTTGTTGATGTTGACGATGATGACGATGGTTATGCTGATGTTGATGCTGATGCTGATGCTGATGGTAGGGATGACTGTTATGGTGGTGGTGATGGTGATGGTGACGGTTTTGGTGATGGTGATGGTGATGGTGATGATGGTGATGAGGACGATGAGGGTGATAACGATGATGTTGATGAATACGGTGAAGATCACGGTGTTGCTGATGATACTGATGGTGGTGGTGATGAAGCTTATGATGATATTGCTCATGGTGGTTATGATGACGACTACGACGACGATGATGGGGATGATGATGATGATGATGATGACGATGACGATGACGATGATGATGATGATGATGTTGATGATGATCATGGTGACGATGGTACTGATTTTGACGATGACGACGACGACGCGACTTGTGGTTAATAGGATTATGATGATGTTGATGGCGATGGTGACGATGATGACGATAGCGTTGATGATGCTGCTGCTGACGACGGCACATGATAATGAAGATGATGACGATGTGACGATGAATTTGTTGCTGACGATGATACTGCTGGCTATTATGGTGATTGAAGAAGATCGGATAGTTTCCTGGAAGCGGCAAGTCGCGCAGCGCATAGCACAGTGATTGAATGGATGGATGGCCGCTCAGGGCAGCGTGGGCCCACCTCGGCGTCCTGCACCGCCGTCAGCAGCAGCTCGGCCAGGCGCGCGGTGAGGTCAGCGGGCACCCTGGCCGGTGCCGAGACTTGCCGCGCGAAGTTCATGCCGAGGTGGCCGAGTTCATGGGAGGACAGCGGCGCCTCGCGCAGCGGTGGCGACGTCCGTCACGAAGCGCTGCGCAGCAGGGTCGAGCCGGTCTCGACCACGAAGGCGGAGGCCGCGTCCCGTATCCGTTCTTATGGTGCCGCTCTGCGTCGAGGGCCGCATGTCTGGGGGCGCGCACAGTTGGTCCCGACCCGCCAGGCGAGCGAACGGTGATGTCCACCCACGTTGGCGTGGACAGGCCCTGGCAAGAGCACGGACATCGCAACCATCAAAGGCATCACCACCCATACAGCACCACCCATACAGAAACAGGGCAAGAACGCGGAAATCGCAACCATCAACAAAAGAACAGCATATCTTGAGCCATTCAAGGCACCAGCCATAGAGCACCAAGGCACGAACGCGACCATGGCAGCCCTCATTTCCAATTATGTCCGAAGCAAACAAGAACCTCTTAGTCTACGCACTGGGGAGAAACAAGGCCGCTCCCGCTATCCCACCTGCTACCGCCCCACCAAACCTTTCCGTTCAGCTGACACTAATTCATAATTTTTCTTACAATTGTGGTATGGAGTTGCGGGGACATTGGCAGGGAACATAATGCGATCCACGCACCCGGACAACTTCAAGTCGGCGCGTGCGCAGGCAATTGCCAGCACCAGCCCTGCGATATGCACAGCTGCAGTTTGCAAGATTCGCAGGCCAATGGCATACCAGCGTCCTTGGGCATCAGATTGTGCACACCAGCATGATTTCAACCTCTTCACCGCTCTCTCAGGTTGAGGAGGAGCCGAGGAGGAAGCGAGGAGAAATCGATGCAGAGGAGGAGTAGGAGGAATCGAGGAGGAGGAGAATCAGGCTCGTTAGGGTGCGGGACGCGTCCCTCGAGCCTTTGGGTGGGGGGTTGGAGATCCCAAGCCTCAGTCACAGAATTTGGAAGGAGCGCCCCCTGCCATCACATCGTGTAGCTCTCACTTTAGTGCAGCTCGATCGCACGGCCTCCAGCCAGGCATGCGTTTCAAAGATGCGGGCATGGGGGTCGGGGCATTCCCACCCCACCTGGGGGGGGGGCGGCCGAAAGCGGGGATCTGCTTGGGCACATGCACCATGCCTCACCCACACTCGAGGAAAGAAGCATGGGGATCATGACCAGGATGTCGTGGGATCTTGTCCAGGCCGATCTTGGTCATGGTCCGTAGCGGTCGTCGCCAATTCGCGAGGATGATGCACGGAATGACACAGGCCAAGATCGACGTTGGCCAAAATCGGCACGTCTTTTCCGCGTGCAGTCTTGGTCATGGTCCCCGTTTCTTCGCCTCCATACAGACCACCAGCCGGAGCCCGCGCAGCTTTCTGCCGAACAGTACAGAATGCCATTGCTTCTCATGTTGCATACTGCTACGGCTAACTAGTGCGCAGGGCGGCTCTGAATTTCGTTGAAGTGAAGTGCCGTGGGCTTGCGGTCGGCCTTATCTGTCACATACACTACGGATTGCAGTGGTAGGCCACCCGCTGAGATGGGCAACTACTCCGTGCACAGCTCACGAGTTGTCTTAACATCTGTTTATTGCAGGGTATTCGTCTTGATCCATGCTGCCATGGTTCGGGTGGGGACGACAGTGCTGCCGAACCCTTTTTGCACTTGATCTGACAATGTCGTCGACTACGCAGATTTACCGCACACTTCAAAACTCCACGCGCGTACGCGTATGTATCCCTATCTTTGCTTGCCCCCCTGTTCCATCCGACATCGCGACATGATTCGAACCTCAGTGCTGTTTCTGTGGTCCGCTGTTTACGCACATTCTTCTTTCCAACGCCCGCGGGGTATTGTCTGGTCTTCGCTTGCGTGCATGGCTGCGGCGCCAAATATTTGTTCTGTAGTATAAGATGTTTGACATTGTGACCAAGATTCATGGGATGCACCTCATGACACATTGGTGTGCGACATTGATGTACGCCCTATTCGAGATGATGCTTGAAGGGTAACATGGCAACGCAGGAGTCGAGGGTTTCGGGCTCCCGCGTCGTCGGAATCACTGCCAGCGTATCGAGGCAGCATGGAGAATTGCTGGCATATACCAGACCGTGCCAACGACGTATCACAACCATGCCAGGTGCGACATTGATAGTAACAGCACGTGACATGAGTAGGGTGGTTTGGGGGATGTTGCGATGTTCATGATCATGTGGTCCGCACAGCCGTTTCCTCCTGCGCCATCTGCCGTCTGCGGCGAGGTGCAGTTCCCTGATGCCAGGGGCCAGATTGCGATGGACATGCTCCAGGCCGGCCGCTACGCCAGCGGAGAGGGGCCGAGGGCCCGCCTTTGCACAAACCATGTTTGGCTGCGTCGGGAGGGTAGCAGGGAGGCAGGACTGGAGGGGTTGTGCCTGACCATCTCTGCCCGAACCTCTCTTGGGACCTTCCTGGAGGGGAAGGGAGCGGCGGGTCTGGGAACAGACTCAGGCCTCTCCGACGTTGTGATTTTTCGCGGTGTGGGCCCCATGGCTCTTGACCCCGTGTTCTCCGTCACGGGCTGGTTAGGTGTGGGCATAGGAGCCCGAGGGGGGTCCGGAATTCAAGAGCGAACACATTATCCGCGGGGCGTGCTTGGTCACGGCGTTGGTCGCGAGGAGCGGGGGGGCGGGGAAGGGGGGGGGGCAAGCGCGGTGACGGCCTCGTATGCGGCCGACTGAGCACGGCACGGCCCAACGCTCGGGGGTCAGCCGAATAGTTGAGCAGCAGCCCAGTGAGGGCAGCCGCTGGGGCAGCACACGGTCGAAACGGCCCACGGGCTGCATCGCTTGGGCGTCGCCCCGTACAAAGCCAAAGGGAGGAGCGGGGGGGTGGGACCAGACAGACCTAGGATGATCACAGACCGTTCGCTCTCAGAGCGTTGCAGAGCGCTCTGGAGCGGCTGTGGCGGCCCATACATCCTCCAGGCTCGCCCGCTATCGGAGATGTTCCCGATTTGTCCCCATCCGACTTTGTATTTTTCTTGCCTTTGTCCCGCGACTGGCCCCTTGACGAGCACAGGGCCCGCGAACGGCCTCCAACTGGATGGGCTGACCGATGTCCGGGCCTGGAGGGCCTCAGCCGCGCGCGTGCGTGGAGTCGGTGGATGTGGATTTGTGGTCGAGGGTCTGGGCCTCCCCCCCCACTCCCTCTCATGCTGATGCCATCGGTCCCCACCCCCACCCTGCGCGATGGTCCCTCCCCCCACTGTTTGGTGTGGAGCTGAGGGTGTGGCGTGTGTGGCGTGATACTGCGATGCTCCAGTAGAGCTCTGGAGGTCATCGTCGTCACCGCCGCCGCCGTCGTCGTCGGAGGGCTCCGGCGGTCGGCGCCGCCGCCGCCACCGCCGCCGCCGCCGTCGTCGTCGTCGCCGTCATCGTCGTCGTCGTCGTCGTCGTCGAGAGCACCGTCGCCGTCGCCGTCGTCGTCGTCACCGTCGAGAGCACCGTCGCCGTCGCCGTCGTCGTCATCGTCGTCGTCGTGGTCGTGGTCGTCGTCGTCGTCGCCGTCACCGTCGTCGTCGTCGTCGTCGTCGTCGTCGTCGTCGTCGTCGTCGTCGTCGTCGTCGTCGTCTTCCCCCCCCCCGTTCCCATCAGAGGGGGACCCGTGGAGCCCTGGGACCCATTCCATCTGGGGGGGGAGGCCATGGGCCCGCAGCCCTAGATCATATATATATATATATACACATATTTTGGCCCCAGGGGATTCAAATGTATCCATATCCACCGCCCACAGGGGTCCCGGGACAGCCGTTTCCAGGCTGTGGATAATGATAAATCCCAATCTCGCACATTTTGTACTCACCCGAGTTTGTCCTCCACCTGCCTTCTCTCCGCTCGGAGAGGTCAACGGGTGGAGGGAGGCACCCATGTGAGCGGAAAGCCGACACGGGTGAGTTGGCCCGACACCCATAGTTGAAGCCGAAGTCAAATTTGAAGTGCATAGATGAATTTAATAAGATTGATGTGGATGTATGTGTCGTGTTTTGTCGGTTGCGTGCTCATGCGCGGGCGTCGCGCGCATTGGCTCGCCTAATGCAGGTTGGCCTGAGCGTTGCTCCATGTATTCTGTAGTTGTCCTCCTCCTCCTCTTCCCCTTCCTCCTCCTCCTCCTCATCATCATCATCATCATCATCATCATCAGTTTCTTTTTTCTCTCAGCGCGTAGCCGCGGACAAGATTTAGGCCACACCCGCATGACCACCCGAGCCCAGGGCCATTGCCGCGCCTTGCCTGGTCGTTTCCGCGGCAGGTTTTGATCGCGGTGCTCAGGAAAGCCTTCTAGAAGGGCAGCGGGCTTCTCTTTCCTCCACCCAACACACGCACACAAAGAATACACTAGAGAACGAAAAACCCCAATGAGTGAATGGTCTTCGCTGAGGAAATCGACCGGGAAACCCGGAGCCCAGGAATCCAGAACCCACCGAAATCGGCCCGTAACCAATAGAACCTGGGAACCCGGAACCGGGAACCCGGGAACTCAGCCTGCTACCAAAATCGGCGGGAAATCTTCGCCAAATCTTCCAACTTCCGCCAGGACCCCTTCAGTGCAAGCACTGATTGGGGAATGAATTGAATGGGCCCACCTTGCATCGGCGTCACCTCAACATACTGATACTATATGTGCGTCGCCCCCCTAGGGGCGACGCACGCACCGAGAAATCTTAATAGTATATGCGCCGTGGCGGTCGCTTTCTGGCCACACCGCTCGGGCAACGATGTATTACAAGATGGGTATACTATATGTTCGAGTCGGACGCGCGCCTCCAAGGAGCACTTATGGGATCAGTATGTCTCTGTGCGTCCCATTGCAGGTTTGGTTGACAGCACATCGACCTCCCCCTTCTCAGGGGCGGTCGGCGGAGGCCAGATGGGGCGGGCCGCCCAGGGGGCGGGGCACTGCAAGGTTACTTCGCCCGGGGGAGCCCTGCAGAAGGCGTGGGCGGTCGGGAGCTCCTCCCTGGGCCGTGCGCCCCTGCTGCAGCCGAGAGTCGGGCGATCGCAGACATGGATCAAGGGGGCACCCCTCCTCCTCCCCCTTCTCCTCACTCCTCCTCCTCCTCCTCCTCCTCCTCCTCCTCCTCCCTCCTCCTCCCTCCTCCTCCTCCTCCTCCTGCTCCTCCTCCTCCTCCTCTTCGGTTTCCCCTCGTCCTCCACCTCCTTCCCCCCTCCAACTTGTGGTGGTGGTGGTGGTGGAAAACAGGCCCATGATGGGGGCGGGGCGGGGCGATCGCAAACACATGGATTAGCGACGGGTCCCGTTTCCATCGGACATCGCGGATTTCCGCCGCCGAGCGGGCCGGACGAAGGAGGGGATAGGGAAAGGGGGGGGGTACGAAATCTGCTGCATGCAGCTGGTTTCTGCCCCACCGAGGGGCCCATTCCTCGATACAAGGCCGCCTCCCGGCGCTGGGAGGCGCCAGGAAAATGTGAGCTGATTCTCACCCCCCCCTTTGCTATCCCCTACTTTCGCCCAGCCCGAGCCCAGCGAGGCGGCACCGGCCGCATTTTGGGGAGGGCACCTCCCCCGATCCACGGATTTGGCGACCGCGCGCCAGATCCATGGATCGCCAATCCGTGCTTGCGCGCCCCCGAGACAGGGGGTCCTGGCAAGGGCTCTCCCACGGAGGCGCTGTGCTGGAGCAGGGCTCGAGGCCTCTCGCCGGCGCTGCGCTGACCGCACATGTTTCTTCTGCTGCTGCAGGACGTTGATGGTGCAGTGTTGCATGTTTTGCCACGGCAGGATGTCGCCCATCAGCGACGTGGGAATTGATGTCCTGTCTTCATCTGTTTTTCCCTCGTGCTGCCACTCCCCTTCGTCTGTGCGTTTCTGCTCCTCCTGTACCTTCATCCGTCCCACTCGTGTTCCTCCCTCCTTTACGTCCTCGCTGTCCTCTGCCCTCCTTTCCTTTACCCTCCAGGTTCTCCTCCCGTCCTCCTTTGAGGGTATCACTACCGTTGAAGGGAAACCTTTGCAACAAACGTTTCAGAGCCACTTCGCATCACCCCCCTCCGTCTCCCATAATGATAAACAAGCGCTTTCAAGAGAGGACGGGCAAATCTTGAGCTCATCATCTTGAACGCAATACTTGCCAATGTCAAGGCTGAAGGGTGGAGGGGGGCATTGTGTTCTGTCTAGTTCGGGTGCTGTTGACGCACAGTTTTTTCCTTCATCCGTTCGAAACCTCGCGTCCTTGTCTTCGGGGGTAATCAAAAAAGGCTTATGTTATCAACAGATCGGGCATGCATTCCATTTGTGTTTGAATTGCCTTTGCTGAGATGCGTTTTTGTTTTCGGTTGTCGTGTCTGATACGGGGAGTTCGTCTAAGATAGTCGCAGTTGAGAAACAATGCAATGGAAAGGCAAGGGTCGCTCAAATGTTTTACACCGGCCGAACAAAGCACCCCAACTAGAGGTTGCGCCGCGTGGGAACCTCGTGGGTTCCATTTTTCTTTCAATCAATTCAGGCAGGGGCCAACGAGGAGTTCTATCCACGGAGCCTTGACTTGCAGGCCGATGCTGTGATTCTGCGGACGGGACGGGGTAGGGGTGGCTGGGGCGCAACAGCGTGCATGCGACTGGGGCGCAACAGCATTCATTTGTCTTTGGGCGGTTCTTCGGGATTCGGTGTGCCGTTCGGAGCATTATCCCCCCTGTTGGCGACGCCCGATCATACACATCTGGTGATGGAACGCGCACCGCGACGCCGACGCCGTAAAACATCAGTGGCGCAGCCTCCCTGCGTCGGCGTCACGTGGGACACACGTGGCCTTCACGCGGTTTTTTTTTCTAAAGAAAGAATGCGCCCCACATCCTCGCAGTTTCAACATGTATGTATGTATGTATGTATGTATGTATGTATGTATGTATGTATGTATGTATGTATGCATGTATATATGTATGAATGTATGTGTATGTGCATATGTATATAAATATATGTACATATATATATATATACACATAGAATCCCCCCGGGTACCGAATGTGGCCCCGGGGGCCCGGGGGGCTTTTTTCGGCCCTTTGGGGGGCCTTTTCGCCTCCGAGAGCGCTCCAAGGTCACCCACGGTGGCTTCCAGAAGGCGCAAGAGGTTTCCGAGACAACCCAAGAGCGCCCCAAAAACTATAGAATGGCAAGACGGCCCAGGGGACCCCCAGAATGTCAAAAGTGCCCCAAGAGGACCCTCACGAGGGCCGCAAGAGGCCATGATCGTCCCTGTCCAATCGGGAAAAACATATGTTCCAGCACTTTCGCTTTTTGGTTCTGGCAGCACCCAATGCGGCCTGGGGGGGGGGTGCAAGATCGCCCCAAGACGGCCCACGAGGCCCCCAAGGAGGCCCCAGAACGGTACAAGAAAGACCCACGACGGTCCAAGAGGCGCCCCAGATGGCCAACGAGGCCCCTAGAGAGCCCGAAGAGGGATCCTTGAGGAGGAGCCCGACCTCGAATTTCGAGCCCCCCGCCTCACGAGGACCGAAGTTCTCCGAGACCGCCAGCAGGACCCCCAGAAGCCCTCCACAGGCTCCCTGAGACCCCCTAGAAGCCGGCCTCCAAGAGGCCACGACGTGCTCCCTTTTTGCTGATCCCCAGGGCCCCCAGCGGATCCCTCCACAAGGCCCGTCGCCGCTGCCACCCGGCCTGAAATCCGGTCTTCACGACCTGCATCAGCTTCACCTCATCACCGTCCCGCAGTGCTTAGCCGCGTTGCACAGGCAGGACGGGATCCCCAGGCAGTTGTTTGCCCGTCTGCGGATGCTTCCTTGCAGGGATGCGATCCCGTTTCTTTCTCTTGGCGTCGTCCTTGGACAGTTTGCCCTTCTTCTCCAGCGGCCCTGGGCATGCTGCCCCGAGCCCCGCTCTCCTGGTCGCCGAGTGGGCTCCGCACGTCACGCACAACGTAGGGCCCGTGCAACTCTACTCGTCGCTCTCGCACAGCGGGTTGAGCTCTACCTTCACTTCTCTCTCCCACTTGAGCTCCAGCCGCCACTGCTGCCGCCGCCGCTATGGCCACGCACGTCTCGAGCGACCTTGAGGTGCCAGTCCTCCGCACCCCCGTTAACCTCCACGGCGGCCGCTGGCACGCCGACTCCTGCAGCTTCTCGCGCATGCGCTTGGATGCCGCTCTCTTGCCATACTTCGCGCACACCAGCCACTTACCGGTCGTCACCACCTCTTGCTTCGTCAGCGCCAGCTTCGGCTTGACCCGCCTCCTCCGCGGCTTCCCTGGCTCTCGCTTGGGGACATCGGGCAACTCGCCTCCCATCTTCTGGTACCACCAGCCTATGTTCTGCACCGGCCAGCGCACCTTCGTCCCAAGCTCATCCAGTGCCTGTTGGTTGCCGTAGTGTGCGTCCATCGCCGCACCCTCCTTTGCCAGCAGGTCCGCGGCGCAGTTGCCCGTCGCAATCTTGAGCTCGTCGCCCTGCAACTGCGCGATCTTAGTCTTGGACCTGTGCGCCTTCACGTGGTGCCTGTGCTCACGTCCAGGTCCATGTCCCTCACCTTTGCCAGATCCTCCGCCACAGATCCGCGTGCGGCCCGTTCCAGCTCGTGCACCACCTCCCGCCCCGCTGCAGGCCATCCATGATGCCCTTGTGACCCGTGTAGATCCTGCACGGCGGGAGCGCATTCTCGAGCACCTTGAGGAAGGCCCACATCTCCGCTCGCTTGACCTGCATCTGCACTGGCAGCGCACAAGGTAGCGGGCCCCACAGCTGCACCGTCGGCTTACCCTCGTCTGCAAGTGATATGGCCGCCCAGCCCGTCTGCGCCCACTCGCTGTAGCCGAGCTTGGACCTGTCGCACGCTATGTCGCCCGTAAACAGGTCGTAGACACCCTCGAGCACCGCCCCATTTTACTGGTGTACTGGTCCTCCTTGGTGCCGAAACTCCAGTCCGTCTCGGGGCTCCTGGTTAGCCCTCGCCGCGTCCAGAGTAGGCTGTCCTCCTGCTGCTCCGCCACGTGCTGCCATTCTGCCTGCGCCTCCTGCCTCTCCTCCCTCAGGGTCTCGCACTTGAACTGTCTGTGATGCGGCGTGCCGACAGCCTGTCCACAGCCCAAACAGATGTCCGTCGGCACGATGTTGCACTCGCAGAGCTTGCTCATCGTCCAGCTGCCTCCTATGAACACCTCCTTCGCCGCGCTCTTGGCGTGCGCGGGGAAACCCCTCGCCTTCAGCTGCGAGACCGCGGGGGCTATGTACGGCTTGGTATGCCTCTCTGGGACTTGTTGGAGACATCTTTGGGGCATTCCACAGTCTTGTTAGCGCCTCGTGGGGGCCTCTAGGGGGCTTCTTGGGGGCGTCTTGGAAGCCTTTGGGGGCCTCCTGGAGGGGCCTCGGGGGCCTCCTGGGGGCTCGGAGCGGGTTCCAGGGAGAGTTGATTGAGCATGGAACAAGTAGTGTTGAGGCAGGGGCGTCAGCGGCCACACTTGGGCAGCACCATCACTGGGAGGGGACGGGCTGGAGAGGAGGGCGCAGTGGGGGAGCCGCAGCAGCCGCACGATCGCGAGCGTACGCGCTCACAGGCGTTCGTCTCCGCCTCCCGTGCTGCTCTCCCGCGGGGCCGCGCTCCGCGCTGGCCCGCCCGCACAGCGCGAGTACTCCCAGCGCCTGGGCGGCTTCCATCCCCCGCCTCCGGGAATACCGTACGCAGGCCCTCCGCACCCGCCCCTGCTTCATCCTTCTTGGTGTTGTCAGAAGTGGTCCGTGCCCGAGGTGAGCGGCGCAGCACAACGGGGTCGACTGCGCGGACGTGACTGTCTGCGTAAGATGGCGCGTGAGCGCCCTTGTTTCCGACGTAGCGTGCCGCGCTGTCGGCCCGCGTAAGCCACCGTGTAAAGTCGCTATGTCATCGTGCGTAAGGCTCACCAGTCATTTTGTAGCCCTTGGGCCCCTGGGTCGCGAGGGGCGCTCTGGAGGTCACATGGGCCTCCCCGGGAATCCTGCAAACACCCAAGGCCAGGGAGACCTTGAGTAACACCCGACCCCCCCCCCGTGCGCGTGCGAGCCGGCCGGCACGCGGCGGGCGGCGTTCCAGCCACCCACAGAGCATCTTCGGGCGACGACGGCGAGGACGAGAGGCCGCGAAGGCGGCGGCGACAGCGGCTGCAACGGCGAGGGGCGAGACTAGCGGGTGAAGGGCTTTTGCTCCTTGCTGCTCCTGCCCTTGCTGCTTCTGCTGATGCTGCTGCTGCTCCTCCTCCTCTTGACTCCCCTAATCTCTGCGACTCTCCCTCCGCTGCTTCTGCAGCGTCTCGGCTCATAGCGCCGCCCCCCCTCGGCCCGCGGCTCGATGATGCAGCGAGTCGCCGAGGCCTTGGTGGAGGCAGGGGGGGCTGTGCTATACGAGGGCTTGCGAGCCGCGTTCTTCGAGTGGCTCGCAGGTCGCCCACTTCCATTGGTGGACGGACCAGGAGGCTCCTACTCTCGGGAGCGCCTGGCAATCCCAGGGCGCGGGCCTCGATGGGCGAGGCGCAGTGCCTTGCCGACGAGGTTTCCGCGGCCTGCCCCACCGTCTGCTTGGGGCTGGCGGTGGACTTGAGCGGCGGGGTTTCTCCCTCGCTGCTCGCGACGGTCATCTCCATCCTGGGGGTGACCGCTTGCTGCAGCTTCTGCGGAGGCTGCTGCTTGGCGGGCCTGGGAGCCTGCTGGTGGGACCCCTGCCTCGCCCGCCTCCGTGGTGCGCTCGGCTTGCCGGCGCCTGCGCCCGCTCGGGCGCCGTGGTGCAAGCAGGTTAGTGCAACCTACATGTGGTGCAACCTACATGGGCTAAGCTAAGTTGTGCAACCTACATGGTGGTGCAAACTACGTCGTGCAACCTATGCGGTGCACCCTGCAACCTAGGTGGCGTAATTTATGTGGCGCAGACGTATATGGTGCAGACAAGGCGGCGCGAGGTATATTTTGCAAACTACATGGTGCAAGCTACGTGGTGCAACCTGCTACGCGGCGCAACCTACATGGTGCAACCCATGTCGTGCAACCTGCATGATCCTAGCCCTGTCCCCTACATCCTGCCGTATATTATTTTGTTCCCTACCTACGCTCTGCCTAGAAGGGTTCTTACTTGGTTTGCTTAAAGGGCCGGGCAGTGAGGCACGCCCCGGGCGGTTCCCCCAGTATCCGCCCCGCGGTTCTCCCAGCTACGTCCCTTTAGCTTAGCGTTGCCTATATCATCTTAGCCTAGCTCATTCCATCTTAGCTTAGCTTAGGTTCCTTTCATATTAGCTTAGCTTAGCTTCATCTTAGCCCAGGCTTATCTGAGTTAGCTTACCTTCATCTTAGCTTCGCTGAGCTTTAGCATAGCAGAGCACATCATAGCATAGCGTAGCATAGCATAGCGCAGCATCGCACAGCGCAGCATAGCATAGCATAGCATAGCGCAGCACAGCACAGCACAGCATAGCACCGCGCAGCACAGCAGAGCATAGCATAGCACAGCGCAGCACAGCGCAGCATGACACAGTATAGCTCAGCATAGCAGAGCATATCATAGTATAGCGCAGCACATCATGTCATATCATAGCATAGCATAGCGCAGCATAGCATGGCATAACACAGCATAGCAACGAATGCTGTATTCCTAGAGGCTCCAACATTTAGGTAGGGTCGCACGGGGTATGTTTTAGCAAAATGCTCTCCCCCCCGTTTCTTCCTTCCTTTCTCGGCCCTCTCTCCTGCCTTGCTTCTCACTTCTCGTGGCCCCAGCGATTGGTCCTCCAATCCATTTTCCCCCGTCCTTCCACGCCCTCTGTCGTCGCGTTCGTTCCTCCCGCCCCCCGCATCCTCCACCACTTCCTTCCCCTTCCTTCCCGCCTCCCGCGCGCTGATCGTTTCATCACCCCCCGAATCCCAATGCTGCCGCCTCGGTCTACCCAGGACGAGACGGGGGACCAGGAGGAGCAGGAAGATGATCATCAGGAAGGTCAGGAGGAGGGGGGGGCGACGCGCAGGAGGCGCATGCGGAGCAGGGGGGTAGTCAACATTGCCATACCGCTGTTGGCGACCCACTGATACTGTTATTTCGCTGCCGATGCTTCTGCGACTGCGACTGCGGGTGTTCCCGCAAACTGCTTCTCCAGACTTCTGCGGTTACTGCTGCTGCTAGTGCTACCTCCTCGTCTTCCCCTGGCCACCCTTTCGCGCATCCTCTAGTGATATCCCCTCCCCGCCCGCCCATCCCTCCAAACCAAATGCGCCCCACCTCGCCCCGCCCCCGCGTCTGCCAACTATTCCCCCCGCCCCCTCGTCGGCCGCCCGCCGCATGCGCAAAACATACAGGGGGTGATGGGGGTGGAAGCGCGGGCGTCGGGGCGGGTGGGGGGGGGAGGGGGGGCAGGGGTGCAGCGCTGGGGCGCAGGTCGAAGATCACCCTGCTCCCCTTGTTTTTCCTGGCCTTCCCGTTCCTTATCCTCCTGTTGTTGCCGTTCCTCCTCATCCTGCCCCTATGCCCCCATTGCCTCTGCCAGTTTGTGTCAACGGTGAACCCCCGCCCTGCCCCCCCTCTCCAAGCCCCCCCCCCGCAACCCGTGGCGCCATGGCGCCCGAGACGTTGCCGCGCACTAAAGAGGTGGAACGCAAATCCATAGAAGACGAGGCCAGCTCGACGAGCATGATCAACAGGGGGCAGGTGGATCGATTGGGGGGACACGGGGGGGAGGACCTGGGGGAATGAGGGAGGAGGAGGGGCACGGACCGCAGCAACAGCAGCAGCAGTCGCAATCGTAATATTAGTATTATTGGTATTCGTAGTAGTAGTAGTAGTAGTAGTAGTAGTAGTAGTAGTAGTAGTAGTAGTAGTAGTAGTAGTAGTAGTAGTAGTAGTAGTAGTAGTAGTAGTAGTAGTAGTAGTAGTAGTAGTAGTAGTAGTAGTGGTAGTAGTAGTAGTAGTAGTAGTAGTAGTAGTAGTAGTAGTAGTAGTAGTAGTAGTAGTAGTAGTAGTAGTAGTAGTAGTAGTAGTAGTAGTAGTAGTAGTAGTAGTAGTAGTAGTAGTAGTAGTAGTAGTAGTAGTAGTAGTAGTAGTAGTAGTAGTAGTAGTAGTAGTAGTCGTAGTCGTAGTCGTAGTAGTCGTAGTAGTAGGTAGTAGTAGTAGAAGTAGTAGTAGTAGTAGTAGTAGTAGTAGTAGTAGTAGTAGGTAGTAGTGGTAGTAGTAGTAGTAGTGGTCGTGGTGGTAGTAGTAGTAAGAGTAGTAGTAGTAGTAGTTAGTAGTAGTAGTAGTAGTAGTAGAGAGTTGTAGTAGTAGTAGTAGTAGAGTGTAGTAGCAGTCGTGGCAGAATTAGTAGTAGAAGTAGTAGTGTAGTAGTAGTAGTGTAGTAGTAGTAGTAGTAGTAGTAGTAGTAGTGTAGTAGTAGTAGTAGTAGTAGTAGTAGTAGTAGTAGTAGTCGTAGTAGTAGTAGTAGTAGTGTAGTAGTAGTAGTAGGTAGTAGTAGTAGTAGCAGCAGTAGTAGTAGTAGTAGTGGTAGTAGTAGTAGTAGTAGTAGTAGTAGTAGTAGTAGTAGTGGTAGCCGTAGTCGTGGTCGTAGAAGTAGAAGTAGTAGTAGTAGTCGTCGTCGTCGTCGTCGTAGTAGTGGTAGTAGTAGTAGTAGTAGCAGTAGTAGTAGTAGTAGTGGTAGTGGAAGTAATAGTAGCAGTAGCGGCAGTATGAATAGTGGTAGCAGTAGTAACAGTGGTATCAGTAGTAGTAGTGGCAGTAGCAACCGCAGTGATCGTAGTAGTAGTAGTAGTCGTAGTGGTAGTCGTCGCCGCAGTAGAAGTAGTCGTAGTAGTAGTAGTAGTAGTAGTAGTAGTAGTAGTAGTAGTGGTCGTCGTAGTAGTCGTAGTGGCAGTAGCAGTGGTAGTAGTAGTAGTAGTAGTAGTAGTAGTAGTCGTAGTCGTAGTCGTAGTATTGGTAGTAGTAGTAGTAGTAGTAGTAGTAGTAGTAGCAGTAGTAACAGTAGTGGTAGTAGTCGTAGCAGTAGTAGTAGTAGTAGCAGCAGTAGTAGTAGTAGTAGTGGTAGTAGTAGTAGTATTAGTAGTAGTAGTAGTAGTGGTAGTAGTAGCAGTAGTAGTAGTAGTGGTAGTCATAGCAACAGTAGTAGTAGTGGCAGTGGTAGAAGTCGTCGTCGTCGTAGTCGTAGTAGTAGTAGCAGCAGTAGTAGTAGTAGTAATAGAAGTAGTAGTAGTAGTAGTAGTAGTAGTAGTAGTAGTAGTAGTAGTGGCAGTGATAGTCGCAGTACTAGTCGCAGTAGTGGTAGTAGTCGAAGAAGGAGTAGTAGTAGTAGTCGTAGTAGTAGCGCTGACTGTCGTCGCGGTAGTAATCGCGGTAGTAGTGCTCGCCGCAGTCGTAGCAGACGCAATCGTGGTCGTAGTTTTAGTAGTTCTGGCAATCGTAGCAGAAGTAGTCGTTATAGTAGTAGTGGCGGTGGCAGTAGCAGTAGTAGTCGTAGTAGCAGTAGTAGCAGTAGTAGTAGTAGTAGTAGTAGTAGTAGTAGTAGTAGTAGTAGTGCTACTAGTAGTACTGCTAGTGCTAGCACTAGTAGTAGTAGTAGTCGTAGTAGTAGTAGTAGTAGTAGTAGTAGTAGTAGTAGTAGTAGTAGTAGAATTAGTAGTAGTAGTACTAGCGGTACTAGTAGTAGTACTAGGTAGTAGTAGTAGTAGTAGTAGTAGCAGCAGTCG